CAAGCGCTGTTTATTATAGTTTGTATTAAAGCCAATTATATGTGCCCCATGCCCTGACAAAACCTTGGAGAGGCTCCTGCTTGCCTTAGAAACCAGGAAAACTCCTCCAGATGTTGCAGAAGAAAAGAGGAGGTGTGAAATCGCCCAGATGTGCAGCTTCCCAGCGGGGTCCTGTTGAGCAACTAATCTAAGTGAATAGGTATTATTCTCAGTTTCACAGATGAGGAGCGATCCTTGGGGCAGCCATAGGCTATTCATTGACATACATTTTACCTGTAGATGTCTGTGTAACAACGGCATGTCTGGGACAGCCATATGCTATTCATTGACATTACACAGTACATGGCTGTGTAACAATGGCATACTGGAACCACGTTTAACACTTAGGTAAGGAACAGGTATTCTAACCATATCTTAGAAGATTCTGGCAGGAATGGAGTCATTGAGGAGAGTTTAACAAAGGAACTATTGACCATGGAATGGCCAGGTTAAGAGAGACAATCAAGGGATAGTGATCTACGTCTAAGTAATGGCTGTATTTCTTTTTTTCCTTTTCTTCCCGTTTTGGTTTATAACCTTGCAAGTGTGATGTATTGAGTTATAGTATGATATGATCAAATCCTGAGACAAACAATTGTAATGAAAGATATTATTATGTTACCATCAGTGTTTTCAAATAAGCATAGATATCCAAGTGAATGCTCCCGGATGGGAGGCTTTGATATGAAAGTTATGTCAAGGTCAAATAAAGTACATAAGAACTCAGCTCTTCCCCGAGCCTGCACACTGCCTGGGTGGATTAGATTTCCCAGGATACTCTCGGGCCCCACCAGCTACTCAAATGATGCAGGGACTTGAACTTCTCACAAACCTTTTATAGACAGATGATTCAATTAGACTATAGGAGTTTAAAAAAAAAAAACAGCAACAAACAAAACAAAACAGAATTACAACTTCAAGAGTGTCAGAGTGTGGCTCATCCTCAGTTTGAACTGAACATCTATGATGTCCCTGGGTTAGAAGTAAGGGGGAATTATCTTTAATCTGAACAGTTTTCTTTCACTTGGGCCAGAGGTACAACACACATCCATTCAATAGGAATATACTAGGCTAGTCATGATCATTTTTCTTATGGGGTTTTAGCAAGATGGGGAGGGGCATCCTATGATATAGACTTAAGTAAAAATTCAGGGCACAGAAAAAAATATAATATTCTTATAAGATAGATGGCTATTCTTTGAAATGGAAATAACTGCAGTATCCATTAATATGGGACTAAGTTGCGCATAGTTACTCATAAATGAACAAGGATGCACCTATAAGAAGTAATAAGTTGGACCTCTATGTGCTAACAAGAAAATATCTCAGCCTGGCCAGTGTGGCTCAGTGGTTGAGCATTGACATATGAACCAGAATGTCATGGTTCGATTCCTGGTCAGGCACATGCCTGGATTGCTGGCTTGATCCCCATTGTGAGACATGCAGGAGGCAGCTGATCAATGATTCCCTCTCATCATTGATGTTCTGTCTCGCTCTCCTTCTTCCTTCCTCTCTGAAATCAAAAATATATTTAAAAGAAGATATCTCAAAGACATCCATTGTGTGAGTAAATGCCTATATCATGATCATATTTGTGGTTAAATGTTTATATACATATGCACATTTGTATGCATTTTCAAGTAATGGCTTTAGAATTATACACATATGTTAGCAATGCTTATCTATGAAAACAATTATAAGGGTAGAGAGAGGACTAAATACAGATTTTCAAAATAAGTTCAGGACCTATGCAAATTTTGAATCTTTAACAAGAAAATTAAATTATTAGTACAACTGACAAAGAGGCAGATAGATAAAACCCTGAAAATAAATCAGAAGAAAAAACACTGACATTTTAGCACTCATGATTTTAGATTATTCCATATTATTTTATGTTTTACGCTGTTTTCTTTTTTCATGATCTTTCTGATTTTCTTAAGTATTTTTCTTTAGCAATAGAGAAGGTGTAAGTAAACACTTAAAGTATAAATGTAGTTGAACACATAGTACCTTGGGATTTAGACACTCGCCTATATGAATTCTGATTGGTATCTAATTCATCTGAGTTGATTCCAAAAATGCATTTACTCTTTACTTCTCAAAATGTATTTGGGAGCATCAGAATAATTTATCTTTGACCTCAGAGCCTTCGAGCTATTTGTGTATTTACTCCTCCTGTAGGGGACTTGGAGCCTGTGATAAATTGTAGGATTCTTTTACTTCCAGGGTTTCCCTGGGTAGATGAGGCTGTGTTATGATTTATACTTTAATTTGGGAGGCAAGAGTATGCCATTCAGTTTACTTTGGAATGTATATTTTTGCAAGTTTTTAGAAAGACGCGTTAAAATGGATTTTCGCAAGTTATCTACTGCTGTCTGTGATTCTAATCTTCCTTAGTGTTGGCATCACAAACACACACCAGTGAAATGTCAAAAGAAAACTGAAAATTGTGTGAGCGGGGACTTGTATGTGTTTATGTATGTGTGGGGGGGGGGTTGTGTGTGTGTGTGTGTGTGTGTGTGAGAGAGAGAGAGAGAGAGAGAGAGAGAGAGAGAGAGAGAGAGATTCACACATTTATTTTTGAATGAGCTGTCTGCCTGAGAGTCCTTCTCCCATTTCTCTCTCCATCAGCAATCATAAAAACTGCCCTTCCCAACATGGACAGAGAAGCCAAAGAGGAGTACCTGGTCGTCATCCAAGCCAAGGACATGGGTGGCCACTCCGGGGGCCTGTCCGGGACCACGACACTGACAGTGACTCTTACTGATGTTAATGACAATCCTCCAAAATTTGCCCAGAGTAAGTGAGTTTCCTGCACTGGATGCGAATCTAAGTGTGATGTTGGCATTCGAATGTATGTTATATGTTTTATTATTTATATTTATATTATAATTAATGTATATTATAATTATATTTAAAAATTCAAATGTATGTTATAAATATCCAAAGAGCCCATTGCCATCATTTACTGTGGATTATATACAAAGTAGGGCAATTCACATGTATACACAAAGCAAGCAACCCTCTTGTCATTTGGTATTAAATGCACCCAAAGTTTAAATCAATTGAAATAATTTCCAAATATTAAGCATGTAGTTAAGTAGTGGAGCTGAAACTGCAAGATGTGAGCATATTTCTCTATTCCAGGGTTCCTTCCATTAAGAAATTTTGATAGAGTAATTAAATGCACCTCAGATATTGTTCTATCAATAGTCCTACTTGTCATATAAAATAAACCAAATCTTTAGCATCGGAGGTGGAAAAGGCATATACATTTGCTACAAAATATATACTTTTCCTCAGCTACGGGAACATCAGTGATCACTGACTCAACTCTTCTCTGCTAAGGACATGGTCGGCCTCAGAAACTTCTCCATGGCCTTCTAGGCAACCACCTTCAATGAATCAGGGAGACTGTCATCATTTGCCAACGTTCTTGTACTCTCATTGAACCCCTTTTCTTTTGAGTATTTGTCAAAGTAACCTGACCTAGAGAGATGATTGGGGAAGGTCTTTCTGACATGGAGACTCTTGAGTTGAGGTATGAATGATGATTAGGAACTAGCTGAGACAAGGTAAAAACAAGAGATTGGGGGTTGGGCATTGCACCTAGAGGAAAAGGCTGTCCAAACACCCCGTAGAAGAAGGGGGTAGGGCCCTGGATGGGAATGGATAGAATTTCACGGCAGGGGAAGCACAGAAGTTGGAGAGTAAGGTTAGGCAAGAGTTAGACGTGTTGGATTTGGAGTCCATTCTAAGTAACATGACTTTTATCCTAACATCACTAAAAAGCATTAAAAGATTTAAACTTGAGCCCGGCCAGTGTGGCCCAGTGGTTGAACAGTGACCCTTGAACCAGTCGGTCATGGTTCGATTCCTGGTCAGGCCACGTGCCCAGGTTGTGGCCTTGATTTCCAGTAGGTGGTGTGCAGGAGGCAGCTGATCATTGATTCTCTCTATCAATGTTTCTATCTCTCTCTCCCTTTCCCTTCCTCTCTGAAATCAATAAAAATATGTTTAAAAAATTAAGTTGAAAAAAAAGAGAGAAAAGATTTCAAGTGGTGGCTTGAGTAATAGGATTTGATTTCAAGGAGAGAAAAGGAAAGCTGGCCTTTGCCCACTGTCTTCCCCACAATGCAGCCAGTTAACAGGTGGTTGTAGTCATGCATGTCAAAAGTGATGGTAGCCTTGGCCAGCCAGGGTGGTGTCAGTGGAAGTGGAGAAGAGTGCAGAGTTGCCATAGATATTTGAGAAGTTATGATAACAAAAATCTAAGGATAGATTGCAGTTTTAGTTGAGGAGGTGAATTATCATATTTCTGACATGAAAGACTATTTGATGCATACTGGTACATGTTGCTGGGATAGGAAATATCATAGGAGAACCAGTTTTTGAAGAAAGAGAGGACAGAGAGAAAGACGGGGAGAGAGACAGAGGTGGGATTGAAAATGACACAGTTGAGGCACCTTTGAGAATGTATCTTCAGAAATCCCAAGGTCGAAAGAACATTGAAGACGCATTTTCACTGAGAAATGGCACATCTGGCCACTCATAAATCAGACAACAGGGCAACCCCCTCTCACAACGTTATTGGAATGGAGAAACACCATTTCTCCTATCCTTCCCCCAACCTCCTCTTTCGTTTTCTTTCTTTTTTTTAATATATTTTTTATTGATTGAGATATTACATATGTGTCCTTAGCCCCACGTTACCCCTTATCCCCCCGCTCATGCCCTCACCCCCCTGTTGTACATGTCCATTGGTTAGGCCTATATGCTTGCATATAAGTCCTTTGGTTGATCTCTCCCCCTTACCCTCACCCTTCCTTACCTTCCCTCCAAGGCCCGACAGTCCAATCAATGCCTCTCCATCTCTGGATCAGTCCTTGTTCATCAGTTTCTGTTGTTCATTATATTCCATAAATGAGTGAGATCACGTGGTATTTATCCTTCTCTGACTGGCCTGTGTCACTTAGCATAATGTTTCCGTTGCCATTAGAGTTAATGCTCTAAGATGCAACCCTTCTTTCTTGCAAAACGGATTGTTTCACTTCAGCGGTGGCAGATGAGTTTCAGAAGTGTTAATAACTTTCTTAGAGGTAATAACCATTAAACATGATCACACTGCTGGAGATGATGGGAGTGCATAGACTAGAGATGGCTGAAGAATTGTTCCATTTGCTTGGTTTCCCAAGGCTCTCCGCCTCAGAACAGGCAGTGAAGTTGAGGTCCCTGGCTGCCTTATTTACTTAATAACTATTCCTGAATGGCGCATCTCACACCTTACCTGGAATAAGAAGTCTGAAGGAAATGGAATCATTGCACCAATTATGAGAGAATCAGGAAACTTATGCTCAACAGATTTTTAGTGCGTGCCTTATGGCAAAGCTGTTAGGACAACATTCTGTTCCCCAGTCCCATCATTTCATGATTCAAAGGGACATCTTCCTGTCGTCATTAAATAAAAGTGTGTTCGCGCTACAAGAAAACCTTACCCATCATCTCATCTGAACTAATCCTGTTACAGTGGGTAAAATGAGCCCGAGTTTATCCCAGGGACCCAGTGATCGTGTTCAAACCACAATTAGGTAATGTTCTCCAGATGTAATTTTTCCTTTTGGATTTAGAGTTCATTGAGCGTTGATTCTCCCCTGGTTTTTGTTGCAGCGGGACTAAAACTTCCTGGTTGTCTGGGTTTTGATTCCCCAGAAACAGGCACTGAGACAAGAATTGGATTATAAGTATTTTATCTTGGAGATGATGCCAAGAAATGCCAGGAGGGAAGTGAGGATGTGTGTGAGAAAGACAGGGAACCAATGACGCACATTATCAAGCCAGCTACCACTGTGGGTGACTGGAGCTGATCCCACTGGGCAAACTCTGGAACACTGTAAATTAAATAAACAAGCAAAAGAAAAAAAAAAGGAGAAATGTTACCCTACCAGAGAAGGGAGGAAGCTGGGCTAGGAGCTCTTGTGAGTGTTTGAGGGCTGCTTCTGTGGGGCATTCATTCTCTCCAGTTCTGGTCTGACAGGCAGGGGCCAAAGTGAATTCTGAAAGGCAGAGAAAACCCTCAGGCAAATAAACGCAGGAGTCGGCCACGAAATGTAGGGCACACATGCACTGAAGTGGTAATAGCCAGGGGTTACGTTTCCAAAAGCTTCCCCTCCGCCAAAGAGAAGGAGTTAACACAAAGGCAACAGCTAAAGCGACTGGAATTAAGATGCCGCTAATTAGCCATGTTTTACTGCCCCCACCGGAGAAGGAACACGCTCTGTAATTGCCTTTTTGCCTAGAGAGCCTGGAAAGTCGGATGGCTGGTGTTCAGAGCCACGAGGAAGGACTTTGGTAGCAAGAGGAGTGTTTCATGTGTCAGAACAGCTTGCTGCAGGGCACAGCAGAAGTTTAGTAATTGGGTTTTATCAAAAATGGTCTCCGAGTCTGTAAATACAGAGGCCGCTTCAAAAGTGACTTTGTGTGTGTTGCACATTGCATCTTCCTGTGCTGAAATTAGCTTCCTGTTTTATGTTGGGCAGCAACAAAGACCCCCACGGGCAGCCAATGTGATAGTACAGTCCATTGGAAAGAACATTCACACGGATTCACTAATATCCTGCTATAACTCTGCCCCAACTACACGCTTGGTACACATGTGATAGGATCAATTCCATCTCTGAGAAGAGTCTCAAAAAGAGCTCACCGCTTCTGGGAACTCTGTCTCTGACTCATTGAAAATATTGTGCATTCCACAGCAAAAATTAATTTTTTAAAATCTTTTCCACATTGTAGTGGGAGCATTTAAAGGAGTGCCCAGAGCAAAGGAGGTGCCCAATACATGCTTGCTGAATGAATGAATGAATGGAATTTGCATGATGCTCAGTGTTTCTCCTCTTTTCTAAGGTCTGTATCACTTCTCAGTACCTGAAGATGTGGTTCTTGGCACTGCCATAGGCAGAGTAAAGGCCAATGATCAGGATATTGGGGAAAATGCGCAGTCATCGTATGACATCATTGATGGGGATGGAACAGCACTCTTTGAAATCACCTCTGATGCCCAGGCCCAGGATGGCATCATAAGACTAAGAAAGGTAAGCTAAGGAAGACTTTGTTCACATTCAAAATACCTCTTGGAAACTGGAGTTTTGGGGGTTTGCGGGAGTTGGGTGGACTTCCTGGTGAAGTCTTAGAGCTGATAGAGGTATCTCTTCTTTAGCTGCAAAAAAAAGTGGAGCTAATTTTACACCTCATACCTCTTGGCCCCACTTTGCATATCAGCTAAAACTCTGGGAAAGAGGTACCATGGTGATGCTAGCCACCAATCTCACCTTATCTCTCCCATCTACATCACACTGCCTTTTCCAAAACTGCAGGCATTTGTAGGGAACTAAACACTTGAAAGGCAACCCAACACTTGAAAGGCAACCCTCCAGCAATGAGGGATGCAGATAGGGGGACAGCTCCTATTCTCTGAAGAAATTATTTGGAAGCCTATTATCTATGGTTCCCCAGAGGATTTCCGGTGGGAAGAGGCCTCACTTGCCCACAGAGGTGGCAAGTTCAATGGCTTTTAATCTTTCTCTATATTAATTCTCCCCGTGTCTGCCCTCCTACTTCCTGGTATGTCTCCACAAATCACACTGAAGTGTTTCTTTTTAATATATTTTTATTGTTTTTAGAGAGGAAGGGAGAGGGAGAAAGAGGTAGAAACATCAACAATGAGAGAGAATCATTGATCGGCTGCCTCCTGCACATCCCTGGATGGTGGTTCGAGCCCACAACCTGGGCATGTGCCCTGACTAGGGATCAAACCTTGACCTCTTGGTGCATAAGTCAATGCTCAACCACTAAGCCACACCAGCCAGGCTCATCATGGGTATTTAGATGAATGTTGTCCATTATATCTCTGTCATAAAGTAGTCCAAATTAATCTATAATAATAAAAGTGTATTATGCTAATTAGACCAGGCAGCTGAACAACCTTCCAGACGTCATTCCTGACATCCTTCCTGATGAATCCACGGTGGTGGGCGCGGAGGCAGAGGTGGTTAGGGGTGATTAGGCAGCCACACGAGCAGTTAGGGGCGATGAGCCAGGG